AATCGAAGGAGCGTAGTCAAAAATCGAAAGGTAATAGCTCATTACGCTATTCAAGAGTAATAAATCGTGATTATAGACGTATTATCTAGGGAGAGTGTTCGCGATGTATTACACGTGAAAATCAGCTGCCCCATCACGTGACTCGGTGGACTAGGATAAATACAATTACATAATTCAATGTAAATCCATTTATTTAAGGAAATTACAAATCATTTATAGTTTTAATTAAATTAGACTTGCTGTTTATGAACTGTTTAGAAAAATCATCAACTGAATTTATATTATTAAATAATTAAACATATTGTGTGTGTACATATTTGTAAGCAACAAAATTTTTTACTATGAGTGGCCAAGCTTCTTGATAGTAGAGCCATTTTTCAAAATTTGAAATTTTTCGCGAGCCGCAACTAAATACGTATTTAAAAGGTAGGCAAAAAAGGTATGAAAAATTTTTTTTTTACAGAAATTATATTTATTGAAAACATATCAATAAAAGTACAAAATATGTGTATTGAATTTAAATATTGAAAATTAAACACATTTATTTTACTTCTCTTGATAATTCTATTAAATTTGGTGAATAATTGATGACAGCACTTCTCAGTAATTCTTTGAGATGCTGATTAGTTAATACTGATCGGCAAAAGACAAGAATGCGAAAGGAATTAATGTCATTAGGAAGTTCTTCGTCCTTTAATTTTTTAAGGAAATTTTTGGATTGTCGATGATTTTTTGCATTGGTGCGAATGTAATTTGTAATGGGTAAAACTGTTTTCAAAACATCAGGATATTTTAAATATTTTGTAATGAGATGTTCTCGGTGAATTATACAGTGAATCGGAATAAATTGTGGAATTTGAGAATCATCTCTTAAAATCCCAATAAGACCGATTTTTTTAACCAGCATTGCCGGAGCTCCATCATTTGCAATGCTTACAAGTTTATTAAGAAGCACATCAAAAGTTTTCGCTATGGAATCTAATGCATTTTTGATATCGACACCACGGGTTGACTCTTGAAGTGCGACTAAATCTAATAATTCTTCCTTAACAACGAAGTCCGGTGAAACAAAATGTATAAAAACTACCAATTGCGGAAGATCTGTGATATCTGTCGATTCGTCAAGGGACGTTAATAATTTTGCTAAAATATAATAGCGCAAAAATGAAAAGGGTACGCAGGTACATTTATCGAGAGCCACAAATAATCCTTCAAGGAGCCGCATGTGGCTCGCGAGACGCAGTTTGGCCACACCTGTGCTATGTTATGCAAAAGAATTTCTCATACAGAAATTGAGGACTTATAATAACTTTTGATCAAATGATGAGTTGTTTTTGTTGGTTTATGTCGCACTAAATCTGGGCAACGGGCTATTAGTGAAGGGCTGGGAAACATCCCTGAGGATCATCCGAAGACATGCCATTAAAATTTTGATCCTCTGCAAAGGGAATGGATTCCCTACTACGGTAACCCGATGACCTGCGAGAGAAGTCGAGCACTTCACGGTAGAACTGTTTAATGAGGATTGATACAGCACACCCTCGGTTCCTTTGCAGGCTGATCAAAGAGGTCACCCACCTGCACACCTGATCGTAGCCAGAGTGATGGTTAACTTCCGTGTTCTACTGGGAGCCGTGTCTTAACGATCAGTTCACAGTCTAATGATCGGATCTTCACGTTCTAGAACTAAATCTTAAAGGTTCGAATGGATAATCTGAAAATGTGCTAATTGATTAGTGCAAACGATATTTTAGTTATGGAATTTGACAAAAAAAAACGTACTTTCTCTGAAAAACATACATTTTTTTCAACGGATTCGGATTTCTGACCCACAAAATATAAGAGGGAGCTTCAATCTTGGAAATATGGTACCAATAGTTTGGTCAGGAGAGCGGTCCCCAAAGTTTGGACCCATTAATGTAAATTTCCCTTTTGCTTATTTTGACTCATCTAGAGAAAAAAACTCGTAAATAATAAACATTTTATCACTCAATTATAAAATTTGTTTACCCAAAATTATCTCCCTACAAAAAATGATTTTTAATTATTATTTTTAATTGCTTTGTATATTAAAAGAGCTGAAAACATTTTGAGTTTCGAAGTATACAAACTGTTACATCTTTTTAAAAAATGAAATCTTATGTGGTAAAGCAGAAAAGGCCATATTTAGCACAAATTTGCATAAGGAATTATGACTAAATTCACAAAAAAATAATCGTTGAACATATATTTATTTAACTAAATTAGGCTAAAAATAAATTTTTTTCATATGATACTCCTCTCTGGATTGGAAGTATTTTCATGCAACATAGTTGATATTTTAATAACAAAATTAATCAATAAAAACGACTGAAAATATTTGGGTGATATTTTTATCAAAATAAAAATTTCAAGTAGGGATTCAGTCGGCACATAAATTTATAAAAAAGTTTTTACAAATAAAAATCAGTATTTACTCAACTGAGATTTAAAAAAAAACTAAAAACTGTCGGAAGTATCTTATTTCAGTTAATTATTAAAATTAAAAATTAAGTAATATATTAAGAGAGCTATAGTTAAATAATATAATTTTCAAACACCCGATAAACTATCCTTACTATAAATTGAAATTTTAAATTATATTTTTAAAATAGTAATTTCATGATATTTGACTTCAAATTAAGCTAAGAGTACATCAAGAACTTTAATTGCGGAATAGTTATTTCATTTAAACTAACACTTATAAATAATATTAGAGTTCATTAAATCATTAAGAAAAAAATCAAAATCTTACCTGTAAACTCTGTAGCAACTTCAATTTTTAAATGCTACATTTAGTTCTTCTATCTTTCAATATTCGTTATTTTCGCCTTTAAGCAACACCTCCTAGAAAAAGAAGGCCTCAGCACCGACCAATTTAGTAGTCCACCGTAACGAACATAAACTGCTCAATGGATAAAAAATAAGAAATATGTCATGGTAATTACAAAGATGTCATTACGTTTGGACAACTAAAGGATCAAATTTCTTGTTTATGGAACCTGTGATGAGGCCTTCTCTTTTCTTGGAAGTATTGCTTTAAAGCACCTTATTGACTAAATAAAGCTACTAAACAATCAAAGAGGACAGTAATTATAAACTTTACAAATATATATATATATATATATATATATATATATAAAAGCATCATTGAGCTTTTTATTCGAACACAGCTCAAATTAAGTGTTTAATTAAAAGGACGCAGCAAAAAGTCTTTCTTTTTAATGTTCAATCAAAATTTCACAGTTGAACGAGGAATTTCTCCTTAACTTTCCCTTATTTTTTTTTAAATACTAAGCATAAACAGGCCTATTTCCCGGTTTGTTGTTAGGATGGCTAAGACTTTCTAGATTTCAATATATCTATCTAGATATCAATTTAGTGATTCCGTGAAATCCTTGTAAAAGCAATGATAATTGTTTTTGAAAAGTCAATATATTGAATTATATAGTTTCAAAAAATGTACTACTAATTGATTTAGGAAAACGAACGATATCACATTACGAACTTATTTGGATTCATTACTAATTGTTTAGAAAATTCTTTTGGCGAAGAGAAGTTTGAGAAACAGAATCAAGCACCATATGTCCATTTTCTTAAACATACTTTTTTTTTAAACACGCAATTTGAAATTTGTCTATTTTTGATACGTACGGTTTCATTCCATTTCCTTACTTTAAGCTGGTCCTTTTTCTAAACACGCATTTAGTGCTGCATAAATTTTCTTACACGCGCCTTCCTTAACTGGGTCCAATTTCTTAAATACGTATTTTGAGCTGAGTCTTGTAAAATAAGCTCATCGACAAAAAATATTTTCCTAGTTTTTTTAAATCAAATCAGTGAATATGTGAAGATCTCAAATCTTTTCACATAGCAGTTTATCGCAAGACCTTAGAACTACTGTTTTATATTCATTTATTTTCCTTCTCCTGAATGAGGTTTTTCATTGAGGTTTAAATTTTTTTTAAAAATTAATTAATAATTTTTTTTTAAATTTTTGCTAAAAAGGTTGGTATGTTGGTATTTACACTATTTTGTTTCCTTGGAAAAAAGATTTTCGCATTGTATTTCCATTTACCTTATCATGGCAACCAGCAAAAATACAAAAAGAAGGTTTACCATTTTTCAAACCTAAATGTAACATGCAGTGTCAATAGTCCTATATTGTTTCTGCTGAGTAAAGATTTCTGTTCATTTTGATCTCCAACAGTTTCCCTGCATAAACATTTTCTTCCACTTTCAAACTTAAACACACCCAAAATTATCAATAGGCAATTGTAAAGTTCGAATACGCCCTCTGGGGAAAAAACCAGTTTCATGCCTTTGATCCATGCTTTGGCCCTACCTCTCCCCTCCGCAGAGGATCAAAATTGTGATGGCATGTCTTCGGATCATCCTCCGGGATGTTTCCCAGACCGTCGCCAATAGCCCATTGTGCAACTCTAGTGCGACGTAAATTAACAACAACAACTTGGCCCTTCCTCCTCTTTTCAGTTGTATAGGAACGTATTACGTTATTTTTCTTTTTCTTTATAGTTTTCGTATTTAATTGTTAAAAATATTTTTTTAAATTTCCCTGATGCTTTCTTTTTGAACTATGTTTAACGTATTTTTCAGTTTCTGGTAGCTTCCTAGTTTGAAAGATTTTAATCTATTTGAAAATCACGACAGAAACTGAAGTACTTCCTTCTTTCTAAGACTCGCCACACGTTAATGGTGAAAGCGTGAGAAGAATTGCCATGGGTAGAGCGTTCTGCTCTACGCCACCTCCAGTCCATTTCGATCACCCTTTTTCAAAGTAGTAGTTTTTGTTTTTAGTTCAAGCAAATTATATTTTAATTAAATATCTTGTTTAATCTTAAAATGCACAAAAACAGGAAACTCAAAGCTATTTCAACATTGCGAACTGAATTTGATGCAACTGCCTTTTGATAATGCACGAATAACGTGAACTGATTCAACTTGATAAGTTTAAAACGTTCGTTCATATCACAAACCTGATTGTATAACCTGATTAGTAGCTTTTGGGATTGCATCACATGATGATTTCGTAAATAAAGAGACAGTGAAAAGATTTTGCAATGATAAAATCATAAACAATACTGATTGATATTGAGCGATTATGCTTTTTTTTTTTTATCGTACATGAACTGTTAACGATATGAGGATAAGATAAATTAATAATTTTATCTTACTTTAATATTTTTATCTAATATTTAAAATAAACAAAATTATTTGCTATCATATAATAATATATAAATGTGTTATGTTTGTATTGTGTATTCTCGGTGCATCATATGATAGCCCCCCAGAAATAAAGGACTTGATCGTGCATAAAAATAAGTATAAGTTTGCATACTAGTCGTAAAGGAAGTGTGCCCATTTTTATTACATAATTTTAGCTGAATAGCAACGAGGAAACTTTTTTTTCGTTTCAAGGTATTTTCTAGTTTCTTCTTTTTCCTTCATTCTTATAATTTGTATTCTAGAAAGCTGCTATTTTCGTAAACCTATATTTAACGTTTTCAGTTTATATATTGATTCTGGGAATAAAAAAAATACGTATAATTCAAATAGAGTCGAACATCGTAGAAGGTAAATTTGTTTTAAAAGTTACACTACTGTCTAAATTTGTGTTGTCTAACTCGGAAATTTATTTTAACTGAAGTCAAAACCATCTAAATTTGTACTATTTTTTAGATAGGAAATTGTTACACTATGAATGTATATATATTGTATTTCAAATGTATTATAAATGCATCTTAATCTGTCAAAAAAAAAAATCTATTTTTGCGACATTATATAATTTTTTTTTCGAATATAAATTAGAAGCTAAACATATATGCCTCATTGTAAGGAAGGAGGCAGTGGGTATACGTACTTACTCCTCAATAATTAGAAATCTCTAAAAATCCTCATAATTATTTCAGACAAATAAAGAGAAAAATTTTGATTTGTCATCGTTTTAAATTCCTTAAATTTTAAAATAAGAGTAAAAATAATTAATATTTTTGTGGGTATTTAGCACATTTAAGAATTTTTCTTCTTCTTATGTGTTATAAAACTGTCGTGACTGTGTAATTTAATTCCCTCTCCCTTAGAAAGTGGGCCTTTGCAATATCCATAAGTATCATTAATAAAAATGTATTAAGCAGGAATAAGGATAAGCAGGGGTATTATTATTAATAGAGAAGTATTTAGAGTTTTTCTATGCTTTTACATTGTATTTTTAACAGGGTTGGCACGGTATTTACCATATGAGTTTTTTATCGGTATTTACCATGATTTTTACCGTCTTAGGAAAAACCTGTTTTTAGCATGGTTTTTATCATCTTAGAAAAAACCTGTTTTGTCCATGGTTTTTACCATCTATAAAATATTTTTTTCTCTCCATGTTTTGTAAAAAGAAGCAGTTTTCCCATCCTCATCATCTTATCGCTTCTGCAATTTCTGTGAACATTATAAAAGTGTACATTAGAGCATAATTGAAACAAGAATTTGGAACATAGTTAAAATGGCCTTTTTTTTAAACATTGCTGTATAATATATGATCATATTAAGAACTAATGTTCTAAAAATTTTTGCAAGGATCAAAATTTTCATGATATTCGTAATAAAATATATTTTGTCCTTTTTAACCTTTTTTTTCTGTTATGGAGATGTATTATTACTCCCTTATACTACTTAATGTAACAAGTATGGCATATTATTAGATACTGTTCAAAATGCTAATATTAATAGTACAAAAATTGTATGTTACTAGCCTTCTGTTTTAGCAACAATTTCTTTCTTTCTTTCTTTTTTTTTTTTTTTTTTTTGTATATTAAAGTGAGCAATATATACTATGTGAGCTATGTGTACTTGTTATGGCTAAGTCAGAAATATATATTCAGAATAGAGATAAATAAAAGATTTTTTTTTTCATTTCTGTTATCAATATAGAAAAGTAAAAAGCTAACATCATTTCAATTTGTTTTCACTTACAATCTTAAATTGAAATGTTTATGTTGCAAGCAAGTTGTCTTAATCCCTGAAAGAAAATACCTCAGAAATTCTGCTGTCTACTTCACAATAATGAATCTTTATTTTTGTTGAACACAATCTGTCATGCTGCTTATTTTCCATCTTTTAGCTAACTATTGAGATCAACATTCAGGGAAGTCAGAAATCATTGCACCTCATTTTATTTTTTCGTCACGTCTTCCAAATGCTTTTTATGTTTTGGCAATTTATTGTTAATTTTTTACCTGTTTAAGTTTTAATGCTAGTTAAAGTAAGTTTGTAGAAGAGAATATAGCATTAAGGAAAAACAATAAAATTTGGCATTAAATAGGTGTGCTCGTTTACCACTTTTTTTTTTTTTTTTTATCATCCAAGCTTGTATTTGTGACAATCAATTTAATTCTTAAAAATTCTTAATAAATAATGTTTACGCTGAATGAGTGTGTTATGATCTAAAATAATAGAATGTTAAATATATTTTTTGTTTATTTCTTACTCTTAAATATGCAGATGTTGAATTTTTATTAAGTCGAAAGATTAATTCGTTTTAAGTTTATTGAAAATTAATTTAAATTTGGTGACCACAAAATAATGTAAGTTTTTTAGTACTCTAAATATTAAAATATGATAGGAAATATCATAGATATAATTTTTATCGAATAAGGTAATTCTGAAGTAAAAAATGAAGTTTATTAAATTTTTGAACTAAAATTTTAGTTTATCAGTTTTGATGAAGTTGAGAAAAAGTTTTATTAAGTAAACTATAACTTTTAGAGAGATTTTTAGTCTAGTAAATTTTAACTTCTTAGTTGGTTTTTCTTCTTGCTCTTTTTGAAGAATATTATTTAGTAAAATTGTCTTGATTTTCTCAAGTCTCCTTTTTTTTAAATTATTTTTTTGTTTTTTATTATTTACTCCTAATTTTTTGTTGAAACTATTAGGAAGCCTGTTTTTGCAATAGATATATTTTTCAATGTTTATCATATGGGTCATTCTCACGAAAACTGTCATTTTTCAGTTCATAAAATCCCAAAAAAGTAAAGTGAATAAAAAGCTCTGAAACTTTCTATATTAATAGAAATATGTAATGGCATTATAAAGAAAGTATATATCCTATAAATTATACTTAATATTTAAATTAATTAATTTTTTAAATAATTAATTTATAATTATTAATTTATAATAATTAATAATTAATTAATTAATTTAATAAATAAATTAATTAGTTTAATAAATCAATTTATTAATTTATTTTTCAAATTAATTAATAAGTAAATTAATTATTTTCACTATTTAAAAAGTGAGGGAATGACACTAATAGTGAGGGAATGATATTTTATTTTAATACATGTTTTTATCTAAGTTACATCTACCTAAAGTTTGAAAATGATAACATACTAAGTATATCTAATATTTATTATAATTTAGTCTTATATATTTAATAGTTTTTACAGGTTTGGGAAATAAAATTGGCTGGCACGATTGAACAAAAAAAAATTTAATAATATACTCATCTTGAATCATTCCCTCACTTCAGCGTCATTCCCTCACTTTATACACTAGTGAGGGAATGACGAATTCAATAAAATTTAAAAATAACAGTTAGGCCTAATTAATTTCTGAAGTCAATCACATACAATTATATTCATACAAGAAAGCAACATATAATTATCCACTTTCTCGATGAAGTTGTATTTTATTTTACTCTAAAAAATGACATGAGGGAATGACAAATGTAAAAAATTTTACCTGGTTTGATTCATTCAAATTTATTCCACAGCAAAGCTTCTTTAAGTTGAAGATGGAAACATACTGCAATTTTGTTCTATGATGCCAGTTGTTAACTTCTGAAGTTTTTATTAAAATATTTTTATTCTAAGAAGATTGCAGGTGATAAGAACATTGTTGTGAGGGAATGACGCGAAACACTGGGGACAAAGTTTAAAATAGTGCTGTGTTAATATTTTTATCAGAAATTAAATTTAAAATTTATTTTCTGAATTCTATATTTCAATATTCTCAAATAAAAAACATAAATTTGTAAAAAAAAAATTTTTAATTTCAGAAACAATTTTTTTCTTTTTTTAAATCAGCAGTGGGGACAAGTGAGGGAATGACATATTGGTATATTTTTATGACCTAAAATTAATAAAAAATAAAAATTGATAATTTTATTTTTATTCTTTTGTTAGCTTGCATTCTGAAGGACACTTTCCTTGAAAATTTTTTTTTCGTAAGTTGTAAAACAAACATAAAATATACTGGGGACATGAAAATGACTGTTTTTGTGAGAATGACCCATATATTGATTTATAAATTATATCTTTTGGCAAAAATAAAACATTTGTGTATTTAATATATTGACAGTATCAAACTTTTCTTTTTTTGAAACTCCATATTTCTTCTATTATTAGTATTTTTAAAAATTTTCTGTTTTAAAATTAGTTCAAAATGATTTATTTTTTGTTATCCAATTATTTTTAATACAGATTAAAAGAAGAATCTTACACTATAAATTTGCAAAATGAGTGTAATGTTTTTATTAGTAAGAGTTGTAGATTTAAAAATATAGTGGAAATTTAATATTTTAATTTCATTTAAAGGTTCTCACAAATAAAAACTATTTCCGGAAATTTCAATTTTACGTTATTTATGTTTTATTTTCTTTCATTGGTCATAAAGAATATCAAAATTCCCTTTGTGTCAAATATGCCACTTTTCTGTTAAATTTTACTTGTATGTCAAGTTCTGATTGAATGACAATAGCACAACAATTTTATAGTTGCATAAATTCAATATGTTGAACTGAGGGAGCTATAAAAATTCTACAATAGTAATCCAAGTGATCTGTTCTATCCTATTTTTGCCTCAGAATTTTTTGAAATCTTGAATAACATTATAAAGGGAAAAAAATTTATTAATTACATTAAAAAAAAAATTTCCAAGGGAAAATTGGAGATTTTTTACTGATTGATTATTTTCATCTTATAATCACAATTTTATTGATACATTGAAAGTATAAAATCACAAACTAAACATATACTTTAATACAAATCATATAGTGAACATGTACTCTAATACTTATCACATGCTAAACATATCCTAATCTAATCACATACTAAATCTGTAACTTTAATGGAAATCACATATTGAATTCATAATTAAAAATTTATAAAACAATTTTTATAACAATATACTGTTAAGTATGGATACTCAAACCAATTCTGAAATAATTTATATATATATAGATTTTAATATTATGCATAAAACAAAAGTAAATATGAAAATAGTTATTATAGAAATAAGTAGACATAAATTTTTTTATTTTTCTTCTGATATATTATGCATGATTTGTTTAAATTTGTACTATTTTTATAATACTTTTCTCTTAACAAGTGTATCGGCCACTCTCAGTTTCTAATATTTTGTCCAGTTACTTTCGGTTTATGCAACTGTTTTTTAGTGTTTTGAGGGAAATGGGTTTTTTCCAAACAAAATCCCTACCCTGGAACTATTATATATTTTGAAATTATAAATTGAATATTCGTTTTCTCTTTGTAATTTATTAATTCTTCTAAGCTTTTCATTAATAAATACTTCATGCATTTTTAATAAAAATATTTATAGAATGGATTACGAAAAAGTGAAGTTCGATGATTTCCCGCCTGGGCCATTAGATGAATACCGTTGTAAAGCTACATTTGATTGGAAAGAAATGAAATTTATTTTAGAAGGAGAAGATGTTGCCAAATATCAGGTATATCTTATTACAAAATGCATTAAAGAACAATTGAAATAAAAAAATTAAGGTCATATTGTGTCATAAATTATCATGGTGTAGGCGATATTCTGTGGAATTTTTCTTGTTAAGCACTAAACTCTTATTGAATAATTTAACATAATTCATTAAAAGCTTTTTTTTCTTCTGTCATTTGGGTTGTAAGTTAATTTTTGGATTTTCATTCTTTTTAATATTATTTTATTCATAAACGTTCGATACTAGTGTTTCTTTCAAGTGCATTTCACCTTTCAAACGAGGTATTAAAAAAGTCATTGGTTTATTAGATTGGTTAAATTCAAATTATTAAAAGTGTATTTTGGATATTTCTCTTGTTTTGCCTGTACCTTTCTGATAATTAATTATTGAAAGAAGGAAGTCTGTGAATTGTCCTTTAGAGCAGAAAACCTACCAGTTTGGGAATTCCCAAGTCTACTAATTTAAAAATAGCTCATGAGTCGACATACCGGCACACGTAAGAAACAGACGAAATTTTATAAACAGAGTAAATATCCAAGCCTTAATTAAAAGTGAAGAGCTAACTATAAAAGTATAAAAATTAAAAGTTTGATTAAAGTAAATTATATTTTAATTGAAATCTGTGTTAATATCTTAAATTTATTTTAAGATGTTTTTATACATCATGATTTTATAATCTCTTGTACAATTTCTCATTTAAAATATTTTAATATATCATTTTTATTTTGAACAGCTTTACATATGGAAAAGTTTAGAGGCTGAGCCTATATTTCATCGTACAATGACAGATGAATATAAATGGCAAGAGGATCATCACATAACATATCGAAGAATGAAACGTATTTGTGAAATTAATTTTCTACCACCAGAATTATTAGCAGAAAAACTTCACTTTTCACCTGCTTGCCACAATGCACTAGCTATGTATGATTTGGCACTTTACATTAAAAAATCTCTCGCTGTAGAAGTAAGTTTTTAATGAAGATCTTAAAAACAATGCTAAAATCACTTTATTGTTTATTAATTAATATAATTGAAGAAAATTCACACTTTATTTAAAGTATTTAATTCTCAAAGAGTTTATTTAGTTAAATAGCATAAAAGCAATATACAAGAATGTACCTCAAATTGTCAAGCTTGAAAGGTTGCTTTTTGATAATGTAAGCAAATATAATCATCAGTGCCAAGACAGAGATAAAATTATTGTCTATGCATTGATGATGCTTATGTTATCACAATGATTGTATGTCTTTCAAATTTATTAGTTTGTGCCTCAGGCATTGTTTTTAAATTTTTTTTCTTATTCTCTATAGGGTTATTCTCATTGCATCCATTTCTCATTTACTACATGTAAGAGGAATTGCTATGCATGTACCAATTGTATAGGCATGCAATCGCTTCGTAGAATGAGAATGGCTGCTATGTGTTTTTATTTATAACCGCTACAGAACCCTATGCTAAAGTCTTGATTTTTTCATGAGTTATAATCTTGTTTTGTCTTTGTAAATTTTTTTTTTGGATATTTAAATAAAATAAGAGATATTTGAAATTTTTAATAATCAATTAAAAAAATCATTAATCATTTGCCGCTCTGAGTAAATATGTTTCTTAAACAATTCTAAAAAGTTTAAATTACAGAATCGAATTTTTTTTAATATAATAACTAACGATCATTGAATAAAGTAGTTATTATTTATTAAAATATAAAAATTTTAAAATTCATTGTTCTGCCTTACAATGTCGCCACAGAGGGGCCAATGAAGTATAAAGACTAAATCATTAAAAATTATTAATTTCAAAAAATCTTTTACTTTTTTGTTTTAAAAATTATTAATATTCTTAGTAAATTTTTTTTTTCTAAATTAATTCAAAGTAGAGCGAAATATTGTAAGTTCTGCTTAATAAGGAATTATCCCTAATGTATAGTTTTAGTTTTATAACTGGTTTTTATTTAATTGCCCCGTTTCAACTTCTTAGAAAATATAATTTGAATATTTTTTCAAGAGAATAAGTTTTGCGCATTCTGCTTCCTGTATATTTATTTTAATGCAGATATACTTATTGGATTCAATCACTGTCCTTATTTCCAAAATATATCAAACCAAAAATGAAATAACTATTTTATTTTTCAATTTGATGTTATTGTGTTCTGAAGTTCCTAAAACTTATGTGCAATAAGAACTTTATCTTTTGCCATGTTTTAATTTGTGTTACGATTGTATTGGCTATTTAATTATTAACAAACTTGTTTTTTAAAAAAAATAATGTATAATTTTTTTTAAAATTTGTAATTTACTTTCCTCAGTATCCTACGTATGTTATGAGAAGTAATGGAACTGCACAGCACATGAAGCTTTTTGAACCCTTAAATAAAATGGAAGTAAGTTATTTTAATTGTCACATTTTATGTTTGATTGTTATATAAAAGTGTTTAAAATTACAAACAGTAAAATACATCAAAAACCTAAACGGATTTCGGTGTCAGGTGGTACACCTCCATTACCAGGATAAATGACAAGGTTGGTAAAAACAGAGATTATTCACATTTTGCCAAATGGTGAGAAAAACATGCACTAGAGTAATGCATTAAAAATTTGCAGTTTCGTGTATAAAAAAAGGAAAATAAGTATTAGTGAAAATAACAGTTATTCATTAAGAGTTATTATTAATTGGTTAAAATTATAAGTAAGTTATAACCCATTTTTTTTATTTTAACTTTCTCTGATCTCACTTAAACCTGATCTGTCTTCAGTCTCCAATAATTTAAGAAATAGCCTAATACAACCCATAAGCCAAATTTTCTCATCATCTGTTTATTTCTCTTTGTCAGTCAGCCAATAATTCACCCAGTTTGAGTTACATTGTGTTACTTGTCTTTAGCATTAAATGGGTACTTATTTGTTGAATTTATAAGACAAGAGACTTCGATTAATGCTCATTTTTACAATTAAGACTACAAAGAATCTATCAAAGTAATTGTAATCATGATTTCTTGAATTGTTTTCATCCACAAAAATGTCTGTTGGAGCAGTTTAAAAGGGATATGCAAGATTATGCATTTAGTCTTAGTTATAGAACCAAGTGTGTCTCGCTACTCGTTTGATTAATTTAAGAACTGGTTAATTGTCCAAACCTTCTAAACTAATGAATATTTTTAAAAGAATTTCCTGACCTATTCTATATCAATGATAGAAAAGTTCATCCTCCAATACAGTAGTTATCTCTTGCTGTTAAAAATAAAATCTATTTCACATTATTGAAGGCTACATTCTTCCAAGTGAGAAGTAGGAAGCTAGTTCCTTGTTATAACCATGCAATAAACTTTTGCTCAATTTGTTTCACATTAGCTACTTAAAGTTTTGAGTAATATCATATGTCAATTAATTTCCATGACGAAAAATGTTGCCATACCCATTGCAATAGTAGTTCATCAATGACAAATTTGTCATTATACCCAGTTAACAAATGCCTAAATCTTCACAGCAATTATGTTAAAAAGTAGCATGTTCTCACAATTTTTGATAATAAATTCATTGTTTTCCATTAAATAGTTGTTGCATTTAGCAAATGCTAATAAATACTCAGCTATTTATTAATTCTTTATTCTATGATTTATTCAGTTTCTACTTCTGATTTATGCTCTTCAAAACTTTTTATGCATATCTAATACTGTATAAATATTTCATATTGTAAGGTAAATTTTTTTTAATTCTTATCTCTTTTTAGTCAGAACAATTTTCAATTTATATTACTGTCTTATTTATCCTTCGATTAACACTATTGACACTCATTAGTTTTCCTATTATGTAAAAGTTTAAATTCTGACTCCAAAACATTTTGTATTTATATTACAAAGTTATTTTCAAAAAGAAATTTTCCAAAAATTTAAGATTAACAATGTTACCATATCTCAAAATTGCTTTGCAGCTATCATTAAACAAAGTCTACAATAAGAATTGTATTAATTTATCTATAAGAATGGTTTTTTTATATATGCTTAACTTTAATGTATACCATATTTGAGTTTCATTTGTTATATTTCCTAGTATACTGGTTGTTTCGCTCTGACTGAAATAAGCCATGGTACGAATACGAGAGCAATGAGAACAGAAGCAAGATTTGATCGAAAAACACAGGTTATTTTCGTTTTATTTTTTCACGTTTTAGAGCTTCTTTTTTTTTTTTTTTTTTTTTTTTTTTTNTTTTTTTTTTTTTTTTTTTTTTTTGTAATGGAAGATTATTTACAAACAGTAACAACAGTTTGTAGAATTATATCATTTCTCTTAAATGTTTTGTTAATTAAAACATAGATTATAAAAATGATATTATTATATTTATGTAAGCGGTTTGCTTTCTTCCTCCATATCAATTCATACTTCAGACATTTAAATTTCATCAAGTAATATAGAATTATTAATTGAATTGGGAGTGAATAATGACATAGTCCATAGACCTATATCTTTGTATGTTTTTTTCCCTGCCAAAATATAAGTTTTATAACTTCAAGGTACCCTAGAAATATTTCTACCTTTTTATTTTATTTTTGCCATTAGACTTAGTTTATAACTGATTGATTCCATTATCATGAATATGTAAGTATTTAAGTTTAGGAGGGTATAACCCATTTCACTTTTTGATGCTAATCAATAAACTCTAGATTCAGCACAACTCACGAATATGTAGTTTATGTTATAAACAACAAGTATTGATATAGAAAAACTTTTTGTCTTTTACGTAAAATATTGATCTTCTAGGAATTCGTTTTGCACTCTCCTGATTTTGAGGCAAGTAAATGTTGGTGTGGAAATTTAGGGCAGCTAGCAACACATGCAGTTGTCTTTGCTCAACTATTCACTCCAGATGGGAAATGTCATGGCTTGCATAATTTTATAGTTCCCATCCGTGATCCCAAAACTCTATTACCATATTCAGGTATCACAGTTGGAGATCTTGGACCAAAAATAGGCTTAAATGGACTTGATAATGGGTAAAAAATTTATAATTTCTCTCTTTTTTTGTGAAAATATCTATGCAAATCATAATTATCTGTTACAGTTGTTATTATTATCTGCTATGCAACAGCAACAGATTTGTTACATGTTGCATACCTAGATAATACTTTTTTTATTAATACTTTTATTATGTTTTTTAAAATTATTTGGAATTACTGCATTATTATAAAACAAGTTTTAAAGTACTGGCCAATAAAATAAACCCAATGAAAGGTTAAATTACAGATTTCAGCTTTAAACTTTCTAGAGTCAAGTTCGTGTGCTGGAGCAAAATTGTATTTAGAGCACACTATTAATTTGTTTAAAAAAAGTTTTGATTCATACCTTTGGAATGCGACATAGACATTAGAGACAATTTTATTATTATTATTATTATGATGATGATGCATTTGAGGTGAACTTTTATTATTAAATATTCACTCATCATCATGTGTTCCTGGGAATAAAATAATCCAATATTATTATAGTTAAATCCAATATTTCTGAATTGAAAATTGTTATTTTACTCTGCACTAATGAAAAGGACAGAATTGTGACCTGTGATGAAAAATGGGTATACTACAACAATACTAGCCGTAGAGGAGGGTGGTCAGCATCCGGGGAATCCGCAAGTTCAGTTGCAAGACGAACGCTAACTAACAAGAAGGTCCTTCTCCGTATCTGGTGGGATTGTCGTGGAATTATCAACAAGGAGTACCTTAAAAGCGGGTAGGCTATTAACAGTACAATATACAGCAATATGCTAATCAAAGTTAGCGATGCGATTCGCGAAAAACGAGAAAACGAGCTCAGAAGGAAGGTGATTCTCTTTCATTAAGATAACGCTTGGCCACATGTTAGTGCAATGACCGGCATGACGCTCCACACGTTAGAGTGGGATTTGATGCAACATCCACCATACAGCACAGACATGGCGCCTTCGGATTACTATCTGTTTTCAAATCTGCAGCTGCATCTTGATGGCACAATCTTCCGTTCAAATGACGAGGTCATAAATGAGGTCGATTGCTTTCTCTACTCGCGCACCCCCCAGTTCTTCGCAGAAGGGAATGAAAAGTTGCCAAAACGTTGGCAGACTATTGTTGATTTGAATGGAGATAACTATTCTCATTAGCTTTGCTGATTTTGTATGT